TTGCACCCCAAATTTCAAGACTTTCCTACCTGGAGATGCTGTACCAATAGGTGAGCAGTGGCTATATACTACTCTGCCTTTATCTATTTATTATGATCCATGGTGGCCCTAAAAAGCACCAGTAGATACATGCAAGAGACAGCATGGTATAGTGATTTGAGCATTGGACTAGATAAGCAGTGTTTAAATCTTCACTCAGCCAATGGAAGCCCACGAAGCAAGTCATAAGGGGCAACTCCTGATAATATAATGCAATTTAATAAATATAATATAGCAGGATATATTAATGATCAACAACCTTGCATAGAGGATGCCAATCATTTTTTTTAAAAAAAACTTAAATGAGAAAAATAAAAATACATACATTTGAAGGCAGCAACCTGAACCTATATCTGCATAGACCCTTGCTCTATAACATATGAATTAAGATACATACCTATAACTTTAAGAATTTTAATTTTCATCCCTAGCATACTTTTTTATCATCTTTGCCTGAGCCAATGATCTTCAAAAGAGTAATGAATTTTGTAACTTCTGATTGGCCTAACAAAGGTATCTCTACAAGGCCTACTTTGGATTTCCCTTTTCTAATAGATCTATTTACTTATGACTGATACCTTTTCCTTGCAGTAGGATGATCAGTAGTTGCTGGCTGGCATCCTGTTAGACTTGCATGCTATCACAACTCATTTTATGGTTGTTGTGTAGGTTGGAATTCTGTTCCAACCATACAATGACCCCCTATCATAACAAATCACTTTGTAAGCATGAAATCTCCCCCCTGTAACAAAGCCATTTCTATGTTGTTGGAGAGTGGGGAGATGAGTGGGGATGTGTCAAGCTATTTAGCTGTAGCTGAACTACAAGGTTGTCATGTACAGGGAGCTCACAAGGAATCCTGGAGGTTTCTGCAGTTGCAGCATGTCCACCCAGAAGAAAATAGATGGACACATCCTCATGCATCTCCCAGTTCTCTTATAACATGGCTTCATAGGGGGAGCTGCACTGCTTACAAGATAAGTTTTTTTAGTAGCTTTGGGCAAGTAACTACAGACTGAGAAGTAGCAATGTGATAAATGCACATCTTGTGATGCAGGGTCTCAACTATAGTGATGTAAATTTCTCCCTTTATTTTTTATTTTATTAGTCTTCTTTCTCCTCTGTGGAGAGCAAGTTATTTCAGCTTGGTTTGCCCCTCACAGAGAAGCGAACCATTCCTGACAAATTCTTAAAGAATATGAGCTATAAAACACTCAGCTGACTTTCTCTTCCTAACTCTTCTTCCAGTTAGCAATGTGAACCATAAAACTCCATTTCCAGTGTCTAACAAGGAAAGATGGCCTGTATTTATCTTTAGAATGGAATTCGTCCCTCTTCCCCTCCCTTCCTGCAGTCCAGTGGAGTAATTCACATTGCCTTGACTGACACTGTCAGAACTCAGGTTTCACCAGAGTAATTTGCTGGTGGTTGGTGGGGATGGTGGGTTACTTTTAGCTCGTTTGCTTTTGCTTGGGGCTGGGGATGCAGGTGGCTGGCTGTTTTAGAGATGTAGCCGTGGGAAGCTGGATGCTTGGCTTTGCTTGGCTTTGCAAGCAGCTTGGAATGTGGGGGAGGCTTGGGATAGCTTGGTAGTGCCTTGGCTAGGTAGAAGAGGGGGTTGGAAGAGGGAATTAGATCATGGGAATAGTAGGAGGGGAGTGGTAGTTTGCATCAAATGGAGAGGGGTGGTGTTGAGGATTTTTTTTTTTAATATTCTGTTTGTGCTATTGGGGGGCAGTTCCAGCATAAATACCGAACAGGTGAATTTCTGGCATTGTGACTTCAATAAAGTTTTGTTCTGGTTCCACATACAAGACTCATTCATTGCACATAGACTCTGAGTTCCCCAGTTTTGACAGACAGTAATATAATTAAAATGGGGAATATCAAGTTATCTAGATGATCTTACTGTAGCTGTACAATGTCTGGTACATGTGAAACACACATACATACATATATTTTTATATTTGAAACTATAATGGATCTTTTGGTGGTGCCTGGAGAGTTCTGTCAAACACTCTACTGCCTTTTCCTTCCACAGTGTCTAACAAGATCAGAATTCCTCCCTCTTCACACTTGTGGCGGGCTAGCTGTATACTTTTCCAACCCAATAATTTGTCTCTAAAATAATAAAATAGAATATCTTTTAAAACCATTTACTTATTAATTAAGTATTAATTACACCTCCCTATTAACAGAGTATTTAAATTTGGGCTGTTTTTCCCCTCTTAGCTATAGATGTCCCGTACTCAACCAATCCAGAGGTCAGATGAAAGCAATCCAAGCCTAGTCAATAAAGTCTAAGTTACCTGATGTGGGGAGGATTGTTAGAGAGGAAGATCATGAGATATTATTTTGGAATGAAAGGCCTGTTATAGCCTTTACTCCAGCCACAATGAAGGTGCCCATTTGAGGATTTGAAAGCACCAAGTTGCAGCTAGAAAAATATGTTTATAAACCTCAAGAGGAGGAACATTTATTAAGGAAATACATTCTTGGATAGCAATAGCCTGATACTTTCTAAACTAATCTAAAAGAGAAAAGGATGGGAGGGTGACATTTTGTGGCATGTCCTCTCTTAATGATGAACAGAGGGTTTTGCTACAAGTATGTTCCACAAAGTCTTCTTCCAAGGGCTGTCTGCACAAGTGATGAAACAGTTTCACCTCATTTGGAAACTTACCTGTTTAAATGATGCACATGGCCAACATGAGAGGAATCTGAGATGAAACTGCACTTCAGGGCAAAACACTGCAGCAAAATAACACCCAGTTTGCTCCAGTTCAAGATGGAAAGTGAAAACTATCACACCAATGTGCAGAGTGTGCACCAATGTAGAGAAGGAAGAAAGGGCTGGCAACTCACTGGTGCCATAGTTGTCCATAATTTTTTGTTCCCACCAACCCATGATGCACACGAATGGTTAGCTGCACCACTGACCCATTACACCATCAAATCACTAACATCCCATGAAATGAAATAACAACAAACATGGGGTGTTGCCAGCAATACAATGAATTTAATCATAATATTAACTAACTGGTTGGTCCAGCAGGGACTGTAGGGGAATAGAAAAGGGGGGCATGTATGGAGGTCCTCCGTGTTGTGCCAATGTGTCACTGGGCACACCAATGTGCCATACTGGTTGCTGATCACTTCTGCGATCAAACGACTGGTCACATGGCCAGTTGTGCAGGGCATTGAATGGGCTGGCATATGGGCAGGATGAGGAAGGCAATAAATGGCTGCTGCTGGCATGTCCGTGTACATGTGCATGTGTTTGGCATGTAAAGGGGAAAAAATAAGGGTGTGGTGCAACTTGTACCAGCAAATGCCCTCTTTTTATTAGTCCATCCTTGTAGACAAAGGGGTGTGTGGAATGCCTGTGGGTGTTTGGCCCATTGTGGGAGCTAGTGGTGTGGTCAACAGGTTCTCCTTGCAAGTTGGGAAACCCAGGAAATTAGCCTGCTGTTCCCCTCCATCTGGCTAGGCCCTGAATCATCCTACATTTACCAGACTCAGGTCCAATTGTTCATGCAGAAGAGTCAAATAAGGATGGTTTTTCTGAGCTCATACTTCAAATTGCTAATGGAGGCTGGCATAATGTAATGCCTCAACATAAAAACAAAAATCTCACTGCATGTAGAAATCAAGCAAATTTCTATACTGGATCAGTATCCTCTGACTAGAGAAAAAGCATGCCACATCCAATTGCTTTTCCTAAATAGAGAGGACATACTGAATGTCTGGGCCTTATATTAGTGCTGTATTAATCTTACCAGCATGGTGTAGTGCAGGGGTCCTCAAACTTTTTGAGCCGGGGGCCGGTTTGCCATCCCTCAGACCATTGCACGGCCGGAGTAAAAAAAACCACCCGCCCAAAAAACCCCATGACCTTGAGCAAGTCACACCCTCTCAGCCTCAGAGGATAACCATGGCAACTCTCCTCTTAAGAAACTTGCCAAGATAACTCCCATGATAGGGGTCGCCATAAGTTAGAGATGACTCCTAGGCACTGGATTACCTTGGGCAGGTCACACTGTCTCGCCCCAAATGGTAATGAAAACCCTCCTCTGGATAAACTTGCCAAGCAAACCCCCATGATAGGGTCAAAATAAGCCGGAAATGACTCGAAGGCATTGGATTACCCTGGTCAGGCCACACTCTCTCAGCCCCAGATGGTAATGGAAACCCTCCTCTTCAGAAACTTGCCAAGTGGTATGAGTGTTGGACTACCACTCTGGAGACCTAGGTTTGATTCCCCACTCTGCCATGAAAACCACTGGGTGAACTTGGACAAGTCACACACTCTCAGCCTCAGGGGAAGGCAATGGCAAACCTCCTCTGAACAAACCTTGCCAAGGAAACTCCAGGATAGGTTCATCTTTGAGTTGCCAGAAGTCAAAAACGACTTGAAGGAACACAACAGCCACAACCACATTCTTTGAAGTCACACTCTCTCAGACTCGGGGGAAAG